CTTTGTAATAAGCTTTTTTAATAAGTGTTTTTTTTATAATATCTTTAATTTATTTATGGCTAACTCTTGGATATTGCTTGGGACTTTATTGTATAAGCGAACATATCATCATCATATTTATTGTATAACTTTTGGTGGTATTGTGTTTCTATCGGTGAGTAAGGTTTTAGGGCTTGAGGATTGGGACAGGGTTGGCAACAGTGAGAGTAATATTTTTAATATCGCAAGTGACTATACCAGAGAAGTATGGAACGGCGTATGCTCGGCATCAGCCTGCGTGACAGAATGAGGAATACGATCATTAGAAGCAAAACTCGAGTGATTGATATCAGATACCGGGTCGCAAACTTAGATTAAAACAAAAAGGGTAGATACGGCACTAGCCTCACAAAAGTGATCCGCATGAATTGTGGTCCACGACCCTAATCGCTTTAGTCACAACTTGACATGCAAACGACGTACATGTGAACGCCAAAAAGAAATATTGCTAATATTTTGTGTTTATATGATAAAACAATGCCTAAGTGTGTTTTTAAAAAGTGCTCAATTTGCTTTTCATTCGTAAGTACTACAAAATATATTTTTTCATAAAAATTGCTGTTTGTTTTGAATCTTATACGTCGAGTACTGGTCGCGTGATTGGTCGGTAGTGCAGTGACGCGGATCTCGCCGTCTCGTTCGCGCTGCCGTTGAAACTTAACGTGCTGTTTCGTTCGGGTCGGTAATGCAGTGACGCGGATCTCGCCGTCCCGTTCTCGCTGCCGTGGGATCAGTTTTTGTTTGATGCAAGTATGAGCGTACCGTATCTACCCTTTTTGTTTTAATCTAAGGTCGCAAAGCTAAAATGGTCGTGGGCATCTGTGCCGCCGAAATGATGGTAGATGGAACAAAAGCGTTCTGCAGTGGAGACCCCGTGAGGCCAAACGGAGCGTGGGGAGACCTCCAGCCAGATGGTCCGATGACATCCGTGACTCCGCAGGACATCTATGGCACCGACGGGCCTCAGACCGTGCCAGGTGGAGACATATTGAAAAGGCATATGCCCAACGGTGGGCAAATTAATGCTGTGAAGTAAGTAAGTGACTATAAGTTATGGTGGCCAGAAGCTACATTGCCAACTGCTGTAGTTATAAGCATCTACTAATCAATACTAGGCCTAAAAAAATACGAAAGCCGCAATTTCTCTATTCTAGCGAACTTTAATTTCTATCATTAGACCGAATAGAAAAAAAACGACAACTTATACGTTCATAAGGAATCTTATGAAAAATGTCGAATTACGGCGGGCTAGCTATCTTATTACGATTTCTATATATTTTCTTTTGGGAGTGAATCAATATTTTTTTTTGTAAAAATACATATTGTATTGTATTGTATAACACAATACCACCTACGGTAAGTAAGGTTATAGAGCTCCACGAGGATTGGGTCAGGGTTGGTTTTGCCGAGTGCGAGAATATTTTTAGTCTCGCAAGTGTCTATAAATTATGGTGGCCATATGCCATTCCAACTCATACTGCCACCCTTCTTACATAAAAAAAATCGACACGGCTGTATCTGTAGTTATTAGGATCTACTAATCAATGCTGCTAAAATTACGACAGCTGCAATTTCTCTGTTATAGCAAATATTCAATTAAGTTCTATCATTAGATCGGATAGGAAAAACGAAAACTTATACGTTCATAAGGTATCTTAGAAAAATATCGAGAAACGTTTGGCTAGCTATCCTATCACTTCTTCTATATATATTATTTTTGGGAGTGATACAATATTATACAAAATGTAAATTAAATAAAACTAGTTTTTACGGGTTAATGCACGAAACTTTAACTCTTTCTTCTCGTTTTATTCTGATGACGAAGCCTGTAAAGGCTACGAAACTTCAATAAATAAATAAAGTTTCGTGCATTAACCCGTAAAAACTAGTTTTATTTAATGAGTGATGTGCGTGAAAACCTAAGAAACAAATATAAAATGTAAATTGCTTAAATTAAAAAAAATAACAAAGTTTCCACTATCAATTACTATAATTATAAAGAGCTGTGTATTTTAAAAGAAAATCAAATAAAACAGTACTTTAAGTGAATTGAATTAAAAAAATACAGAAACATAACATACATTTAATTATTATCTCCTCGTCTGTGTAAGAGGATGATTTCTGCCACGACGACATGAGGAAATTATTTTCATATTTTAATTTTTCATATTTTTCGTTGTGTCATAGTTAGTAATGGTTTTTAATTAACACATGTAATATATAATTTACTTTGCAGGGAAACTATTCAGGATTGATTTAAGACATAAATAAAGCCTGGATGTAGTACAGTACAACTCGAATAATAAGTGGAAAATCGGCCGGATTTTTGCTTAAAATTTATTGCTTACAATACAAAAGTACAATTAATTAGCTTAAAATACAATTCAAAATGCTTCAAATGGAGTTGAATTAGATTATCAGAGATTTTATTTTACACATTTGGACTAAAGGCGGATGTTTTTTCGGTTAAAGTATTTCACATAAGCAAGTGTGCAGACATTATATTGTTTCACATTTTCTAAGCACGTTTACGTAAACGTTTCGTTAACGTAATGTGAGAAAGACCGATACGAGAATAAAACTCAAGGAATTATGTAAATAGTGACAATAACAATTAGTTCGCAGCGTGCGTTAACCTCGCGCGGCGCCTGAGCACTTCCGCGACGAATTATCGCTACTTGCTGGTAACTGTTTCAGGGTATGGTTCATTATCATAAACACTGTAGATTTTCAGACTATCGACGAAGTTTCAGGTCTGAATCTAAATAGATTAAAGTTGGGAACGACGATTTCAGTGCTAAGAAGAAACTTTATTAACTTATTTAATGATAAGGATAACGTAAATATTTTTAACAGGATTTTGGACGATCTAAAAGAATCCCAGATTCCTTGCGAAATTAAACAGAAGTTGAAGATGTTATTGTCTTAATTGTTTTTTAGGCTGTGCCAATTTAAAAACTTAGAGTAAACATTAACAATAGATAGTAAGAATGAAACCTGAAAACCCCACCATGAAACCTGGTTCCGAAATTGACTTGACCATGGATCTGATCTAGACCCAAACAACAAAGCGACAAGTTTAGTTATCGAGGTCGTATAATGTCCAACTATAGTAGGCCATGTCATTGAAAAATCTCAATACAAAGTAATAATATTTGTTTTATATAAAAGTGTGAAGCCAACTATCGTACGAATGATCAAAAGTAGCGATAAAAAACTTCTATGCAGAGAAAAGTATGTTTTGTGTACTTTATCGTCTAACTCACCACGTTGAAAATATCTAACTTCCTCATAGTATTTAGCCGGCGTAAAACTTTTTAATGAGTTTTATCGGCATTTTCTGTATTTACTAACATTAAACATAATAACATTAGTAATTGGATTTGACACATAGTGATTAACATGTAGGCTATTTGTTTTTGTAGAAATTAGCTGAACACAGGAATTAGCAGCCAAGAAAGCTATACAAAGAAGTTGAAGTAATTAATAATAATCAATGTAATATTCGCAATCAGTGGCACCCTTTTTTGAGTCTGACGCAATAATTTGCAGAAATATAAAATGACCTAAGCTACTCAAGTTCCAGTCAGTAGAGTTTGAAAAGACGGTATGATAAGTATAATAATCATTTTTATATACACAATATTATACCTAAAGAGAAATCTACAAAAAGCCTTTAAACGGGTATTTAACCATACATAGTTATTTAAGATTTAATAAATATGAGCACTATAATGCTTTGATTTAAAAACAAATCATTAAGAAACGTCAATCCAGTCAACTTGTTGAAACATGATGCAATAACTTTTTGTCTCTTTTATGTTTTTGAAATTATATACTATAACAGTCGATTGCCGCAGTATAGAAAAGATTTTATGTGACTCATGTTGTGACCACGGGAGGGTTCCAAGACTACTAAGAAAAGTCGTCGTAACTCAAGAAGTCCTCAAATCGACCACTGCCAAGTTCAAAGTTAATTTTAGACCCCAGTAATTGTAGCGAGAATGTGTCAGCTTATTTATACTTTACAACCCTCCTTTATCTGTTTATGTCAACTTGTGGCGGTGTCTCGCTCTCACGCGGCGCAAGCCTAATTTTGTCCTCATGCATATTAACATCGGCGCACACGTCATCAGCTACCAAGACTTCTTTAACAGCAGCTACTTCATTGATAACGTTATCAGAATATAAACAATCCTATTATACTAATGACAGCTATGAACATCCACTAATTTTAACTTGACACTCAAGCCTCAAGTTCTTTTCAAGCTCACACCTACTTACCACATTTAAAATTACCCAAAGTTGTAAAACTGTCATTAAATAATTTGGAACTTGATACAAAAGCGTCAAATTACCATGTAACCCAAACGTAAACGTATCATTAACGAGCACCTTACCGTATATAACATTTTTAATTAGCACGACTTACGCCAATTCGAAAGTCGTAACGCGCGACCTTGAGATTGAGGTAGCGATTTTGGTAGTGTCCAATTTGTCGATTTCCACAAAGTTATCGATAACGTATCGTAGGTTAGGAGGTGTCGCAGGCCCCCCGCCGCGTGCGCCAGGCCAGCCGCCGGCGCAGCCAGTCAGCTCCGAGAGCGCGACGAGCACGCGGGTCTTGGCCGATGGCGCACGCTCGTTCATTCACCCCGACACATCACGATCGCCAGCTGTCAAAATTTGACGTTTCGTAACAATCCACGGACGATTACCGCGTGAATTTGTAACGTGACGCGCCGAATTTCTCGTAAAAGGCAACGCGCCGCTGATGTTGTTTTGTATCTGTTATGGATCGAGATTTTTTCGTATGAACGATTCGGAGGCGCGCAAATGTTTTGACGTCCAGTCCAGTGATCTGATGAGGTGATGTGATCGAAATGTTCGACGATTAATGTGCTGTGTGTAACCGAATAGGTCGATTGCAGTGTTTGTTGTTGTGCTGTTATCATGCATTAATGTCGTTCGACGCTGATATGTCTATAATTAGTGAGCTGAGATGGTTGCAAGACGACGAACTTTTCGCTCTGTCTCTACAAAACGGTAAGTTCGACATGTAAACGTCCTTATTGTTTCCGAGTGCGTATGCAAGATGTCAGTCGGGCTACATCCTACATGTCTTTACAATCTGAACGACCGTTCTGTTTAAAATGTGGAGCCGTGTGTCCTAATTACGAATGCCGCAAACGACAAAAGTGCTGACAATAGAATAACAATCAGTAAGCGTGGAGCACGTATCTACAAATTGATTCGTTCCAGTTAAAGTTCAATTCAAATACTATACAACTTTTGTGTGACTACCTGAAGTAGCGTGTTGAATGGGTCATTTGCTGTGCTACGAAACTCGTTTAACGATTCAATTGTTTGAGTATTGATAGGTACCGGTGAGTCTAAATTGCATAAACAAATGCTTGGCGTGTTTTCACAGAATTTTGTCGTATTCGTCGGAGTCGTGTTGACTCGAGTAGAGCGTTTGACAAGGTAGTGCAGTAGTGGTTAGTGGCATATCGGCGATGCCTGCACGGTAGTTGAGTAGGAAGCACAGTCAAGGTGAGCTAGATTCTTGCCTGTTTACACAGCTTGAGCACTTCATTATTGGTCGAGACATTGTCGCCACCGACCGTCCGTCGCCATCGGCATATTGTTAGTCGTTTCGTGTCGATCAGTGGTCAGATAAAAAATCAAGTTTTCTTGTTAATCTACATTTTATTGATTTGCTTTAAATATTTTCTGTGTTTGTTGCTTTATTAATGGATTCATTCTCTCAGTGATGGATAACGAAGATAATTTACTCTGTGATGATATTTTCATACGACGTTATACCACTTTCAATTTTATGAAGTTGTTTTTCGGGCAGTATAAATGATAATATTGGTCAACGTTACCGTAGTTTTTTTGCTGATAGAATCATGAAGTGACACAAAATTAAAAAGCAAAGCAAAACCATTAAAAACAGTTCATAAAAACTAGTAACTTTTACGTCAGTCGATGAAGAAACACGACTTTATCCAGAGTCATTGAGTTGTTAACACTTGGTCTCTGTTTCTGTTATTTATGTAATAGTCAGTAAACCAAACTCGAGGTCAACATTAGCTTCAATGTGAAGCGCGTGTTATTTTTTACTTGAAAACACAAATTGCGTAGCTATCTCGCACAGTCATCCATCGTAATGTTAAACAAATATTGCATTAAGAATGACAGTATAACGATATAAATATAAAACACTAAAATAATTAAATAATTGTCATAAAGTAATGAAAGCTCATTTATCTAATCGATCGTCTTGTGCATAACAACTCTTATATTCTTAATAACGGTATACACGTCAAGTCAATAAGAATTATAATCTTCAGGGCCAATTCGATTAAAGTCAAAGGGAATTTCTTTCGCACACCACCGTCATAATTTACCAATTAAGTCAATCACTAGTAGCCGTCGGCTGAATATTCTGTAAATTCTTTGCATTACCGAAGCAAATTTTAGAATATGTAATTTTCATGAAAAAGTTTTGAAAATTACAGGACTGCCATTAAAATAACTAACGGCTCTGTAACAGTATTTAATTAATTTTCCAACATTCCGCGCTAAGAAGGTGCTAATTTGTAATTTTATTTGGTTATGCTAAGTCTGAGCACATTAAAATTCATTGACTGTTGCTTACAAGCAATACGTTTTTGGGTTAAAGCTATCGCTTTATTGTTATCTCAATGTACCTTTGAGTTTCCAACAATGTTTATTCAAAGTGGCATTGTTAATTGAATTTTATTGATTCAGTAGGTTAGTCGTTGTATATAAGTTGGAACTTTTTCTTGTAAATAAAACTTTAGCATATAATGCTGCAAGGCAGGCATGTAATGGCTGAGTTGGCATCTAACAGCTTATGGTAATGATGATAATTTCAGCCTTGCAACTAATGCTAGCATCGGTCCTGCAACAAGATGTGTTATTTTTGAAGTCTTGCTAGATAAATCACTGTTTTGAAGTAAAGTGTACGAAGAGGATGTTGTTAAAATCAGTAACGGAGTATTAGCTGTCAGGCCGGACCACACGGGCCGGGATTATCTGCGACGCACTCATGCATGCTACACTGGTTTGGAATCAGGAAGTATGAGAGCACTTATCGTTAATAAGACTAGTTCTGAACAATGAAGCTCGGATATTGCTAGTAACATTGCTGCATAGGCTGTAGCGTTGACAGTTTAGGAAATAATCAAATGGATTTTCTGAAATACATGCTGCTTTTCTTCTGGATTTTAAATCTTGAAAATGACTTCAGTATTTAGTTCTGTTATACAGTTTTTTGTTACAAACACATTAATTACAAAACATGGACCAGAGTTAGATCTAGTTTTAAACTGATGTTGTCACCTTTGTTTAGAGATAGCATTATGTTTAAACCATGAATAATTTTAGTCCGCGTTTTGGAATAGATTATAGTCCATATAAGATTGATTTAGGATAACATAGCGACGTTGAACGCAATGCCTCTCAGTATCATGATGATGTCACCAATGGTACGACCGGGGGACGACCGGCTGCTATGAATAGTAAACATACAAACAGACGTAGCGGCTAATCGCCTGGAATGTGTCGCGTGATGGATCCGAAGTGGGGGCAATAAAAGTCATTCAACACCGCGAGATGTGATCGTTACGACGGACAAAGCGCAGAGAACGTAGCATTATATATTTATAACAATTGAAGACGTTTATGACTTTTTAATAGGGAACACTATGGTTGCGTAAGTGTATGCAATTACGTTGAATGTTATTAGCAGTAAAATACTTAAAATTTAAAGTCTTAACGCTACGACGTCATAGCTCCTAAGACACAAGCCTTAGAATAAGAATTGTTTGTTTTTAATTATCGGTGCAAAATTGTGAAACTTGAAAGAATAGGTTAGGATAAATATTACATACCATTTGCCGTTGTTTGTTTCAAATAAATGTAATATTTAGCGACGTAAAAGAATTGCATTCTTTTCGTTTGATGCAAAATTATAATTATCTTTTCAAATTTATGTAATGACTATTAAGAATTAAAATTACACAACACATTTGGCTTACTTAGAGTATTCAATTGTAATAAAGAACATTTTCTGTCATTTATTTCAATTTGGCTATTAAATGAAACCTTATATCTATTTAACTTACCGCTGTATTCTCACAGTAATCAACTTCAATGAACTGGACTGGGCAGTGGACTTATAAGAGCTCATATAACTTTATGAATGTCAAAAGATCTTACTTCGTTGTTTCACATATAATTTTTGCTCCATTACATATCGTTGTCAGCGCAATTTTCGTTTAAACGTTATATACGAGTGTGAGTAAAGCATATTAGTCTCGTGCATCGATTAATATTGTACGCTGCAGACCTTAATTACTAGTGAACTAGGTAGTAAAAGTGAGGGCTTATAGTAATGGGCTCAAATTGTTATGAATAACCGCCAAGTCTGCTGGCCACGATAATCACAGAGCTGGTAATGTTCTTGCATTTGTAGCTATGGCTGTTAATGTTACTGTTATTTATGATAGCAAATATGCACATGTTAAGCTTGTTCCCATGCAAACGTGAATATATATTTAGACACTAAGTGTATTTAATAATTTTAATGTTACTAAACAGTTAGGTTCCTAAGTCTAGTGATGGGAGATGAAAAATCAAACATCTTGTCGCTTGAAAATGAAGAGCATCGCTATTTGTAAAGGATAACATTTTGTCTGACTTTGAAAATAATATAATTGTATGAATTTATTGAAAGTAAAATAAAATAAGTTAAAATAAGCTATTTTCGTAATAAAAGGATTTAATGGGAACTATTTTGTCAATAGTAGTAAGTACATTTATTTGTTGACGACTGGTTGTAGCGATAAACTACAAAAGCTGTGTTTTGGGTCAACGAAGCTGTTTTTGAAATTAATTAATTCGTAATTCAAACAACAACCCTTTACCAAAGGTTTTTTTTGCTTAATGGGCACAAATCTATGTTTCCGAGACAAAGCTCATAGCTTTTATTTAGTTCTACTAAAACATATATTTTTTGGGACAAATCAATTGGCGTGAGTTGTCCAAAATTTAATATCGTAATTATTATTATTTATTAATTTTAGTAAAACGGAACATTTTCCTTTTGAAACAGACATGAAGTCAATGTTTATACTTTTAAATATTTGATTATTTTGTTTCTTAGGTTTTCATGCTCATCACTCATTAAATAAAACTAGTTTTTACGGGTTAATGCACGAAACTATATTTATTGACGTTTCGCAGCCTTTTCAAGCTGCTTCGTCAGAATGATTTTTTACAAATAAAAATAAATAAATAAAGTTATAAATAAAATCATTATTCCTTTATTTCATTAAATATACATACAAAATTATATTTCTAAATATTAGTTTTTTACAGCGTATAACATTAAAAAAATAACATTTAAAAATACAAAAATGTAGTTACCGGTGGTTAAGGATCCAGAGACAGGAACCTCCTCACTATACGGGCCGTGTCCAGAAGTACTACCTTCTGCATCTGACTCTTGACCCAAACACCTAACGCGAGCCTCTTAAGGTGTTTATCGAGGCTCTTGGCTATCAAACCATGGGCAGATATGATTATCGGTACAACAATTGCTGAATCGATGTCCCACATGTCAACAATCTCGCGAGCTAAATCAAGATATTTGTTTTCTTTGTCTTTTTCAGCTTTTACAAGGTTGTCGTCATGGGGCACAGCGACATCAACAACTACTGCACGGCGTTCGTGTCGATCTATCAATACAATATCGGGCTTATTAGCCACAATAGTCCTGTCTGTAATGATAGATCGATCCCAATATAATGTGGCATGGCTATTTTCAAGAACCTGTTCTGGAGCATACCTGTAGTAAGGAACCTCAGATGCCAAAAGATTGTATTTCAAAGCAAGTTGTTGGTGTATTATCCTGGCCACTTGGTTATTTCTGTGCAAATATTCGCCATTTGCGAGACGAGAACAACCGGAGATTATATGCCTAAGGGATTCACCTGGGCGATGGCACGCACGGC